CAATAACTCCACCAATTTTATTATACGAGTTGTCGAACACAGAAGGTATATTGGATAAGAGTCCTGAGCATGGCTCGTGGGCTGAACGTGGAGTGACACATACTCACTGAGCACTGCTCAAGTATCAGAACGGTTGCTGCATGCCAAGAGTGATATGGCAGGCCAAGGGACGAGGCATCGAGGGCGAGGCCCCAGTGATGCACCTGGGGTGGCACGTATCCCACTGAGCACTGCTCATGTATCAAAGCAGCTGCTGCATGCCAGAGTGGCATGGTCGGACGAGGTCTGAGGCATCTTGGGCAAGGCTCTTCTGATGCGCGCGGAGTGGCACGCTTTCCACCGGACGAAGACTGCAGAAATATCGGCTCTTCGTCGGATGCTGTACAAGGCTCCAATAGAGTAAGGAGTAGGGACACTGGACGACGCTGAGTGCGTGTTCCCACTGGTCCCGATGAGAGGAAAACCCTCTATAGAGAGGAAACGGTGATGGCGTATGTTATCCGCAAGACTCAGGGCGTCCATCCTGGCCCAGGGTGTGACATCCGTAGACGATAGCGCACGGCTTTACACCCTCGTCAACGATACGACGGGAGAGGAAGACGGCGACATCACCCTCGAGGCCATTCTCGCGATGGATGCTCTTCTTGAGCTGGACGAGATGTCCTTCGAAGAGTTTGGGGGTACCTTGAAGGCAGGCGATTTAGCCGAGGTGGTCATTATGCGACCAAGCGAGGAGATTAACTCGTTGTTGCTTCTGGATGAAGCTGTCCAAGAGGACACTAAGAGGGTGCTGAACGTACGAAGTGGATCGTCGATCCTGAAGGATCCCTCGAATCCGTACTACCCTTTGGTAAAGGGTTTCCAAGACGTCGTCTCCAAAGACCCGCCGTCGGTCGTGTCTCCGGACCGAGATGTGCGTCATGAGATCGACCTGGTTCTTGGAACCAAATACTATAATGGCCCCTGTCGATGGAGCAGTGTAACGTCATTGACACCTTTTTCCGTGTGAAGCAGGATGCAGGAATGGTGTGTGAGAGCAATCTCCCCCTTCGACACCCAAGTTTTGTGTCCGAAAGCCAAACGGCAAGTGGCGAATCGTTCACGACTCTAAGAAGCGCAACGCTGGCACCATTCCGGCACAAACGCCGATTCCGAGGAAGGGTGTTTTTGCACAATATGGTTGTCTTTTCAAAGTATTGCACAATCGACTTGGTCAAGGGGGTATTACCAATTGCTCATGAGAGCGAGTGATATTCCACTGGCAGCGCTGAGTACTCCGGACAAGATGCTCTGAAAGCGGCTGAAGATACCTTAAAGGCTGTCAAATGCACCAGCAACATTTAACCGTCTTGTAACGCAGTTCTTAAGACGCCATCGGGCGTATGCACAAACATACTGACATTTTCGCTCACAGTCATGCGAGGCACGGGAGAACAGGGTCAGAGACAGCCTCCTTCATACACCAATACTGGCGTTGCCAGACCCCGATCGTCTTTTTGTGTCGTCCGTGACGCTTCGGACTTTGTCATCGGCTGTGCGCTGCTGCAGAAAGACGCCGAGGGGCAGAATTGGTTTATCACGCTCGAATCTCGCCAGCTTAAGGCTGGGGAAAAGCATTAACCAGTCTACGACAAGAGATTACTTGCGATGAAGTATGCAGTTATCAAATTCTGGGTGCACCTGCTTGGCTCAAAGCCATTTGTAGTCTACACAGATCATGCATCACTAGGCTCTACGACTCAGTTGCTTCACCTCTCGCAGGGTATGGCCAGGTGGCTCTCATCCTTCGCAGAATATAACTTTGCGGTGAAGTATAAGCCAGAAAAATCTTTGGCTGATGCATTATCACGTAGACCAGATGATGAGCTTGCTTATGTCACGACGGTGGTGTCGTCAGTGACAAATTTGATCCGCGCTGCATAGGCGGGTGATGGTATGTTTGTAGCGCTGCTACAGGCACTCGGAAGCAAGGAGTCTGAAAACTCGGACAAGAATGTCGGCGCAATTACGCGCACATTTACACCGATATACGTTATATGACGGTTTGCTGTATCATAACACCGATAAGACGGATACGACACGAATTGTGGCTCATCACGATGAGGACTTGAGATACTGTACCTGCTATGAGGCCCACGAAACACCACTCAGTGGTCATCTTAGTCGTGAAAAGACGCACAGCTCTGTGAGTCGCCACTACTGGTGGCCCAAGCTGTACAAATAGACAAGCACATACGTGCGCACGTGTGAGACGTTTCAAAGTGTGATACCCTCTCCAAAATGCGGCAAGCGCCGCTGGCCACTTTACTGGTATCCCCCGGGTGTTGGCAGTCCAATAAGTATGGATTTTGCGTTTGGCCTGCCGAAGGACTCGGCGGGCAACACGGGTGTCTTGGTCTTCGTCGACCGTTTGGGCAAGATGGCTCATCTTTTAGTGGTGCCGGACGTGTGGGTACAGCGACGCTGTTTGTCGATCGTGTCTTTCGACAAGACGGACTACCGGATTCGATTGCCTCTGATAAAGACGCAAGCCTCACTGGGAATTTTTGGCCTACTATCTCCAGGGTGCTAGGCACAAAGTTGACTATGCCAACAGCGGACCATTTGCAGACCGAAGGTCAATCTGAGCGCGTGAATCGCGTCGTTGAAGACGTTCTTCGCAGCTTCTGCGCTGATATGCCCAAGCGCGGGAGCGCCATGCTGCCACTCGTAGAGTTTGCGCTGAACGATGCAGTGCATTCATCTACCGGCACCTCACCGCTCTACGTAAACGAGCTTGTGAACCCTCGCGTCCCGCTGACGCTGCCATCCCATAGCTCAGGGCTTGGTGTGGAGGAATAGCCGAGCGGCTAGCTGATGCCAGCCCCCTCACCGTGCGTAAAGAAGTTGAAGACCTCCTGTCTACCAAACTGAGTGTCTTACGACAAGTTCGCGATGCGATGGCTGAAAGCCAAGACACGCATAAGGAATATGCAGCCGGAAGAGGAAGAAGAAAATGTTGAAAACATTGAAATCGGAGACCTGGGTTTATTAAAAGCCACAAACCTTCCTACACATGCAATTTCTCCTGTCTTTGAGGCGAAGCCCCGTCCACGATTTTTGGACGTTTTAAGGTCGTGGCCAAGCAAGGCCTTGTGTATACGCTATACTTTCCGAGAAGGATGAACACCCAGTGGGCAGCCTCCAACGGCTGATACTGTGCCTGGTCGAGGCGATTGGTAATAATACCACTTCCACCCGGAAGTCGAGAGGTCGGGGGAGGAACGCAATGTCCGCAAAGTTCGCCAACTTCATCTTTCTCGCCATCCCATACTGGGAAAGGAGTGCCCGACTAATAGTCGACTTCCTGCAACTCCTTGACGAAGAAATCCGTTGCCCGAGGCGAACGCGGTGTGTGGCGCTCGTTTGCCGAGGGCTTGGGATGTGCTTCTCGTGAAGCCGCGGATGAGCTGTTTGGAGATGCACCCCGTGTAAAAGCCGAAAAAGGGACCTGCCCGCGGGCGCAATCAAATCAGCTAGACTGGGTGTTTTCCGTGTCAAAGACACAGGGCTTACTGAGCGGAGAATGTTCAAAGATGGTCCTAGGAACGTAACGGTGTCTCAGACTCGCGAACCTCCTATGAGGCGACAATTAAGTGTGAATTGTGGGCATTCACGATTTTGATGGGGCAGAGTGTAACGGGGCTACCCGTGCTCATGTATGATAGGAAGGGTCACACAAGATGGTGTGACCGTACGAATGTGGGGATTACACAAGTGGTGTAATCACACAATGGTGTGGCTTCACCATAACAAGGAGCCACAACGTGGCGGGACAGCCAGTTATTATGCATATCAATCAGGTATCACTTTTTGATCAGGGAAGCCTAAGATTTTAGATATAGGCGGCTATGCCACAAATAAAACAGTTGAATACAATTTCAATTTTGAACAGAAGAGTTGATTTGCCTTGGTTAAGGTTTTGGGTGGTTCTGGTAAAGAACGTAAGGTCGGTGACCTTAGTAAGCTTGAGCTACGGCAGCTCCGCTTATTTCCTATCTTCAATGATTAATGTATAATATACATTAATCATTGAAGATAGGAAATAATATATTGATGCAGACGATGGGCAGAACATATTATGTTCTGCCCATCGTCTGCATCAATACCAGTACTTTGGTACCTTCGATTTGCAATGCACAAAAAACCAATGCGTACGTACACCATTAATTAGTACCAGTGACAAATCGTCGTCGAGATGTTCGATTTTATAGCAGCCGAGATTGTTGCAGAAGCAGCACAGTTCTGATGCTATCAGCTAGAAAAGCAAGATGCGGAGTAGTATTCGTGCAATTAGTACGATCTAGAATCATTACTGCAGTATCTGCCATAAAGTGCAGCCAGAAGTAAATTTTTAGTCCATAAGAAACGAAATCGGCAAGATTGTACATTTATAAGATTTGTAGCGAGATGTCCAAGAACAAGTCGCACGCACCTGAAGATTGAAAAAGAGGATCGGACGATAAAAATATGCTGGATGGCAGATTGGCCATATGGTAATGAGCAAAAAGCACAAACATTTCGACGATTATGACCAGACTCCAATCTATACATACAAGTTTTAGAAGAAAATATCCATTGAGGCGAGGCGACGCCGTAGTAAAAATTCGCAACATCCGATCCGCCAAGCTTACGATGGACAGAATCGTTTACCTATCGCTGCATCACGGTCACCTCTTTACTTTTTCATTTCTAAAGGACTGATTGAACTACACATTTAACAATAAAGATCGTAATCCTGAATGTTGCATTCGACTTCTAACCGATATATATCTTAACTGCAAATCTCAAATTGTGTAGCAATCCCAATTTTTATTAACTTTCTTATTATTATGTTTAAGGCAGTCCAAAATTTTAGCAATAATATATTAACTTTACTATGAATCGGAAATTTTCCCTCCAATCCCCCTGGCACAGTTCTCATTTTCAATTTTTCCTGGTCGGCATCAACTTTAAACTCCATGAGGACCGGTAGCATCGTTTCCAGTGCCATCGCTCTATTTGTACTGCGGGTACATGGAGCTCCAGAGCGCAAACTCGAAGCTTTGACAGAGGGTGATACTCTTACGAAGATGGAGGAATTTTTTGGTGTGAAGCTGGAAAGGAAATTCAACGACCTTCCGACTTCGGCAAGACTCGAAAAAGCACCATGGAATGGCCCTATCTGGGAGACGTATGCCGACAGTATCAACTACCCGTGGAAGGCCAACCAACCATCTCCAACTGAAAAGTATGCAATGGCTTTCGGTTTGAACGCAACAGAATTGAAGTACAATGTATCAGCAGCGTTTGGCCTTTATTCAGTGTCCGACTCGAAGCCTGCATGTTCATCGTCTTGCAAAGATGAAGAGGACGTATGCACCAATCGTAATGGTATGGGCATCTGTATTCCGAGATGGTTTGGTCTCAGTCAAGGATTGGCGCCTGCAGCTATTTTCGAAAAAGAGCCCCTGTGTCCAATCACCTTCAACAACGTCGAATTTTACCCGAACGATATCAAGGGATTGATTTCGGCTGTCTATGCTGGAGCAAACTCTTCGAAAATCTTTGGCGGGAAGCGTTATCATGATAAAGAAGTATCACTTGATCAGTATGGCCGACCCACAGAGGCTAACTATCGCGATGTGACGCCTGCGTTCTTCCATATCGCCGTTGCCAACATCATAGGCAAGCTCAAACGTTCTCTGATCATCGACCGTTTCCCTGGTCATACCGTGTGGAATCAGGCACTTTCTGCTTTTGAGGTGTACGAACAGAAGACGATGACACCCGAAGAAGCTGCGAAGTCATTTTTCAACACTGACAAATACCCTTTCAACGACCAGGCTACGCAGATCATCTATGTCGTATCCAGCGTTTTCTGGAACAATACCCCGTTTCCTACCGATGAATTTCGACCACTTATCCAGGACGAAGACTTTTACGCGACGTACTCGTATATTCTGGAGATAACTGCAGCCGGAGACATATGCGGAGGCGAGTGGGTAAATAAATCCATTCATGCGCATGCTGACTACTTGTATGTGGTAAAGGAAAAACCTGCTGCTGACCTGGTGACGAGCGTTGGGTTTAGCTACGCCAACGTGTTAAAGCTACTTGAGATGTCGGCTGCGTGCCCGAATACGATCCAAATTGCGAACTAAGAGCCAACTGTTTTATACAGAGCATAATACAGAGAATACAGAAAGTCTTTGCCATTCATATTTTTCTTTGTTTTTAATCTGTCTGAAGGATAAAAGCGGCTTTAGTAATCGTTCGTCGCAAACTGGTGCAGAATAGAGCATGAAGATTATGCACTGCGTTTTCAATTAGATGATCTATCTCTTTATGTTACCGTCAGTACTTTTACAGTTTATTTCTGTATCAACAGGCTTATTGGCGGTACTCGAAGCTTCACATATTGTCCACGATAGTTGAATATTCAGTCTTTATTATGGCATTTTTGCGAAATTTTTAACTGGATTTGACATCATACCATCATGTATCGTGATATTGATGTAACTTTGCATTTACTCTGACAGACAGGTTTAAGAGCCAAGGATTTCAATGTTCAGAAATATTTTGCATGAGACCTGATGAATCTTAGTTCATGATCGCTGATTTATTATTAATCATTCGTTGCAGGCATGCAGAAAATAAATATGGGCCCAACTATGTTATTTTTCAGAATGAAAATCATTTCCTCACAGCGAATTGTTTTAAGATCAAGGAACGCATGACCGATCCAATTTACTGGGGCTTCCAATCAGTCTGAGCAGCCGAGTGCATTTCGTATCTGACGGCAATAAACATCGTTCAGACAAAGTAACTTGCGCATGTGAAGCATATAATTTCTATAACTCTAGGCGAATTATACTTTCATTTGCAAAATCGGCCGATTTGCATGTCCAATGCTATTTACCACACAGTTCTTTAGCAATTTTAATCAAATAAGGAAGCACACAGCTTTTAAGCAATGTTGATGAATTATTTCCAGATTTTGCCACTAAAATTGCCATCCATCAAATCTTATAATAATTTTTGCTTGTTAAGTTTAAAACCTTTGTACTCGCATCGTACTTATCGACTTCTTGGCGCAAAGTTCATCTTTTCACTACTAAGCCTAGCATGTTCTACTCGCAGATTATCTTGGCCAAGAAGGGTCCTCTAGGCAAGATCTGGCTCGCCGCGCATTGGGACAAGAAGCTTAACAAGCAGCAAATATTTACGGCTGACATTCACAGTTCTGTGCAGAGTATTGTCAATCCACAAGTTCCTCTTGCTTTGCGTGTTTCTGGCCATTTGCTGCTTGGAGTTGTGCGCATTTACTCGCGCAAGGTGAAGTATCTATACTCGGACTGCAGCGAAGCGCTGGTTAAGATTAAACTTGCCTTCCGTCCTGGCATTGTTGACTTGCCCGCAAACAACCAACAGGCGTCTTCGCACGCCATTAACGTCTCAAACTTTGGCGAATTTGAGGCCGAAGTCACTTATTCAATCGAGTACGTAAATTCTTCGATATATATTTTTTATTCTTGTTTGCATATATTTCTCATTCTGAAATGATCTATTCTACAGGTCAATTCCTGTGCCCTCGCTTGATGAATGGATCGCTGCGTCTAGCCAGACGATGGCAAAACGCCAGGATATTACACTAGCAGATTCTCTAGACCTGCATCGTGGGTCGAACGCTTTTGCAGAAAGAGGTAAAATTATACTACTAACTTTGTAGAGTTATATTTTTCTTATGAATAATCTTTCATCCAGATGTCATTGCAATGGAAGATTCCTTTGGAAATGAAGGAGATTGGCATGCATTTGATTTAGAGGACAATTTTGGTAGCTCGGGTATGGATATGAGTACCGTCAGTGACATTGAAGTGGCGCGAGAGGCTGATGCTCCTATTTTACCATTAAACGACTCGGGTCTCATTAATGCGGAAGATAAATCAACAGACAAAAGCTCACTGTTGATAAATGAGGAGCAGCCTGAGTCTGGCTTTCATGATATGCCATTCGAAATACCTGAAAATGATCTGGAGAAGGAAAACTTATCAGACTCAATAAGTGCTCACGATACTAGTGCAGATCTTAACGTAAGTATGAATGGGTCGACACGCGCGTCGTTGGATGCCGCACTTGTAAATATGGAGGCTGAGACAAACAGACCGAAAAAGAAGAGGAAAATTGCTCGAGATCCCGTCACAGAGCTCACGTCTGCCTTTGTGAAACAAGGAATGGAAGACACATCTGACATCACGCGTGCACGAGATATCATATTTGAAACAGCTGGAAAGAAGCAGGAGTTTGACTTGCAAATTGGATCTGATATGTTTCATCGACCGTGTATGGCATCTATGTCGGATGAACTCTTAAGTATGTTTAAAGTGACTATGAAGAAGCGCAAATTTCCATTCACTGTGAAACAAAAAAAGTCGAATGAAGTGGAAGATGTGGAGCTGACGCGACGAATGAGCGCAAACTCTCGTATCAGCATGAGTTCGGTCTGTCACTTATTTTCCAAGATGTTGTTGTCAAATGCTGACTGTTAATTGAGTTTTGTCCAGAGTGGTCTCGATGTAACGACAGGATCCTTTGATGCCTCCATGTCGCAGGATGTTGAGGATGCAAACCACTTTGAATTTGCCGAAATGGACAACACAAAATTGTGAGTATCACTTTAGTCATTACTTACCACAAAGTAAACGTTCCAGCTAACAAAAAAATGCTATAGAGAAAAAATGGACGATGATCTACCAGATTACGATATTGGTGCTCCATTCGAGCCTGAAGAGATGCAAGACACAAACGATTTCGATGCGAAAATTGAGCTAGGCGCTGTCAATGACATTCGAAGCGATGCTGTTGATCTAGATGGTGCAGATGCGTCAACTGTGCAGCACAAATGGCACCCGCATACTGTCAAAGTAATGAAAGTCCTGCGTAAATCGTTAGACCATAAAGACAAGATCACGTACCAGCAGCTCACGAAAAAGACTCGAGACCGTAGAACAGCAGCTGCTTTGTTCTTTGAGCTGTTGCAACTCAAGACGCTTGACTATGTCGATGTGGAACAAACGGCGGCGTACGCAGATATAACGATTTCCAAGGCAACTAGGTTCTCCGAGTATATTCCTGCTATTGATCGCGTCGTCGCGTGAAACATGCTGCAGTTTTGATGCGTTTATTCTCAATAAATATGATTAACGAAGGGTTGTTTTTGCTCTAGGATTTATTTTTATGTGGGTGTTTTATTGCTATTTTTGCAGAATTTACTCGACTCAGCATACTTACGGTCAGACATTGAGAAATAAGCTCAACCCGTTCAAGTTGTGAACAATCTGTTGGCTTGAATCTTTTTGTAAGATGCACTCCTTACCTGAATTTCGGTCGCTAAAGGCAAAAATTCGCGTGTTATGCAAGCAGCGTCGTCTTCGATTAGAAGAATTCATGAAGACTTTTGACATTCATCGAGTAAAGCGGATCAAGTCAGAGCAGTTTAAGCGTGCATTGGATGTGTGTGGCCTGCATCTATCTGCAATTGAGATCAATCTGCTTATTGCCAAATACCAAATTGCAGACGATCCATCGTTTGTGGACTATCAGCGTTTTTGCGATCTCATAGACAAGGTGTTTACCGTTAAAAGGCTTGAAGCTAAGCCAACCTTTCAGCCGAGTCATCCGTCTGACTCTGAGACCGTAAAATTAGATATTCCGAAGCCGCTTACACTGGCTGAAGAGACCACACTCGCTGTCGTCAAGCAAAAGCTGATGACAGCAGTCATGAATAAAGGAATCGTACTGAAAGATGTATTTCGTGATTTTGATCGCAGCAATGCTGGGAAGGTGACTCGGTCACAGTTTGTGAGAAATATTTCTGACATCGTCATACTGTCACCCAAAGAAACGAATATTCTTCTTGAAGCTTATGGCGACAATTTAGACGTGCGTTATCGTGCGCTTCACTATGACATTTGTCCGGGTGCATCGAATGCTGACTTCAAAGTAGCTGCTTCTTTGTCGCCTGATAGACGTCGCTTGCCCTCCACAGCAGCAGCTCACCACTCAGTTGGCATACAAGAGCTGGAGGCTGAGCTTTTTAATGTTGTCTTGCGTGATCGCATTCGAACGAAAAACTTCTTCACCGACTTTGATCCGCTGCGGGCAGGCAAGTGCACTGAAGCTCAATTTCGTCGCTGTGTCAAGCTGTGCTTTCCTTTCCTCAGTGAGAGCGACTTCGCCTTATTGGTTGAGAAGTACGGAATCATGCATTCGCTAGATACTTTTAAAGTGGATTACGTTCGATTCTGCAACTCTATTGAAGGTAAAAAGAGTTCTCAAGACAACAACTTTGACGATATTCTTGATTCACTTCCTACGGCTTCAACCCACATGGGTGGCAAATGCTCACGCAAATTACGTGCCTCCTTGAGTGACGACGACAAAGTGGTTTACCAGGACATGATGCAGCGTCTGCATACGCTCTACACGACGCGTCGAATGCTTCTCAAACCTAGTTTTCAAGACTTTGACAAAGGTCGACGGGAACACATTACCGTCGACCAATTTTTGCGTGTCATGGCCATGTTCAAGCTCACGTTCAAGGATGAGAATGAAAAATCTGTAATTTTACGACGTTATTCGAGCGCTTATGGGGAACGTTTTATAAATTATATCACGTTTTGTCACGATTTGGAGCACTGGGTAGATGAAGACGATAATCAGCGTTTAGCAAGCCGTCCGTCTTCACGTGGTGGCATTGTATCGGAGATTATTGCACCATCCAAGCTCTGTACCGACACGTCTGCAGATACCACAGGGATTACTCGCGTACGGTCCATTGCGATGCTTATGCGCTTTATCAAGCAGACTGTTAAACGCGATCGAATTCGTATGGATGAATTTTTTCGTGATTTCGACAAACTTCGCCATGGTAAAATCACACTTGCTCAATTCTGCGCAGGGTTAAATAGTGCAGGCTTGCATTTATCGGGTGAAGAGATGACTATGTTGAGTAATGAATATGCGTGGAAAGAGGCTGATAGGGCGGGAAGCCACTGGATTGCGTGGAGAACCTTTGTGAATGATATTGAGAGTGTTTTTACGGTAAATGGATTAGAAAAGACTCCAAATTATGATTTAACAACGTTAGAGTCTCGTGAAGGACAGTTAAATGGTGTTGTAGATCTTACAGTGGATGATGAAGAAGAAGTAAAGCGAATTTTAATGACGATGAAACGTGCGATCGATCGTCAGCGGATGGATATCAAACCTACGTTTGAAGACTTTGATCGGTCTAAACAGGGATTTATCTCCGCAGCCAAGTTTGAACGGGTGTTGTCCATGTTAAAATTGCTGCCAGCACGAGCATCCGAATTGCGGCTTTTGGTGGTCAAATTTCGTGAACAAGTCCCGAATGGCTCGACATCAATGCTTAGTTCTATTTGTGATGTCAATTATCGAGCATTTTTTCAGGCCCTTGATATAGTTGGGGGGTCAATGAATGCTACCAGTGAAGCCATTCGAAAAGTAAAACTTCCTGGTAGTGTTGCTTTTCGACACGAATTGTACCAAAATGGAGTTACAAATGATGCGTACAAGCGCCAAAGTCGAGGGATGCATGAAGAAGCTGCAGATTTATCGCAACTTTTAGCCGAAATACGACGTCAACTTAGTATCAAGCGAATACGCTTGAAAGAGTTTCTCGTGGAAGGCGATAAGCTGCGGTCTGGAGAAATTACTGTCGCGAAGTTTCATACTGCACTTAATCGAAGTGGATGTGTGTTAGATGCAGCCGATTTACTTACATTGACTTCACACTTTCGCTCTGAACGCTATCCAGATAAGATTGATTGGAGAACCTTTTTAGAGGCAATTGATCTCTCTCATGGCGTAAATATAATAAATGATCAAGTTTGTCAAGACAGTATGGAGGATTCTGTGAAGAATATCCTTGAACGACTTCGGGCTGAAATTATCCGCCGCCGTCTTCATTTGAAACCCTATTTTAAAGATTACGACCCCAATAATGTCAAACATGTCACTCAGTTTCAATTTGCTGCTGTTCTTGACATGATGCAAATGTCTCTTAAGCCTGCGGAGATTAAGATACTAATGCATCATTTTAATCACCGTGACGGTCGCAAATCCACGAACGATATTAACTATCTCGCTTTTGTTCATGCTGTCGAATCGGATTACTCTAAAACACCAATGTAGTGATTTGTCAACGAAAGAAGCATTAGAAATAAAACAATTTATTACAAGCGTTATTGTCGGAAGAGCGTCTTTCTAAATTCAAAGCAAAAGTAACCAATTCCTTTGGTTTGAGCACACCGTTGCGACATCTTGCATTTCGAGAGTCTTCTATCTTCGGTGAATGAGCGACATGAATTCGCTTCGAGTACGTGAGTCACTTTTAAACACGCCAAGTACTGAGCTCGTAACAGTACTAGCTCCACTCTTCTCTACACCACGCATGACCATACACATGTGTGTAGCTTCAATGACCACAGCAACACCCTTAGGCTCAATGACACCCATGATAGCAGTAGCAATCTGCTTTGTAAGTCGTTCTTGGACCTGTAAACGACGAGAAAAGACTTCACTTACTCGTGCAAGTTTACTGAGTCCCAGAACCTTTCCATTTGGTATGTACCCAATGTGCACTTTTCCAGTGAATGGTACCATGTGATGTTCACACATTGAATAGAGATCGATGTCTCTAACAATAACCATCTCATCATGATCTTCCTCGAATACCGCTTCGTTCAGTACGTCAGCTAGGCTTTGACTATAGCCCTTCGTGTTGTATAATAAAGCTTTGGCCATACGCATAGGCGTCTTGACGAGTCCTTCACGATGTGGATCTTCGCCAATGCACTCAAGTAATGTGGTAACAGCTGCTGCCATCTTCTCCAGCTTGGCTTTGTCGTCAACATAGTCGTTTGAAGAGCGAGACGGCAGCGTCATGGATAGTTCCGTGAGATTCTCTGCTTTTGGCGTGGGATGAGTGCTAAGGCTTTGATTTTTGGCAGCAGTGGCTTGCACTAGAAATGCATCACACGGGAGCAAATCGTGTTCTAGCGTCGTCGAGATGGGAGCCATTGCACTGGTCAGGAGCGACGTTTTTCTTGTGATTACCGACGGGCAGACGAGGGTGATAATGATCTTTGATTGGACAATATATATATGCAAATAATGCAGCTGATTGGAGAGTAGTGTAATATGCCAAATGGTAGGATGAGACGACTACCGTTATTTTCATAGCTCATTGATGAGACGCCGAGGTGATGGCGTCGATTCGGGTACCGGAAGCAAGCGGCTTGGCGAGCACCATGACGGTAGCTTTGGAACTTATATGTCACATAAAATACAAAAGCTTCGAGGACAGAATGAACGCCTGGCGTCGTCAGGTGCTAGTACGTCTAGCAGCAAGCAAACCGACATCTTCAGAGATGTCCATGTATACGTGGACGGGTATACAGTTCCGAGCAAGGAAGATATCCGGCAGCTAATGTTGCTACACGGTGGTGGCTTTGAACACTATGACACAAATCGAGTGACGCATGTTATCGCAACACATTTACCGGCGTCGAAATTGCGGCAACTTCAGTAAGTGCAAGTTGAAGTTGAAGTCATTCATTGCAGTTTGGTTGATATACTATGAGCACAGGAAGGCAAAGAAACCATTACCGGTTGTTCATCCCGACTGGATTCTACAAAGCATTGAACAGAAGAAACTGCTTCCAGTGCAGTCATTTTTGTACACAGGATTTACTGACCCAACGCAAAGCAGTGTCCATACGTTCACGGCATCAAATGATCAGACAATTTCTCCAGCCAACGAAATAAATCATGATGCATCTCAGCATTCTATAGATGACGAATCAGATGTGTCGATCCACCAGCCATCAAGAACGATAAATCTTTCGGATTCAGGCGTTAAGTCGCGTACGAATTCTACACGAGATGGTCCAGACTTTGTCCGGCACTTTTTTGCCAAATCGCGATTACACCACATTGGCACATGGAAAGCTACATTTCAGCAGCAAGCAGCCTCGTTCCAAGCTAAATACAAAGGTGAACGTATTACAAGAGCACCCTTATTGTCCAATGATCGCATCATATTACATGTGGATATGGATTGTTTCTTCGTTGCAGTTGCACAAAGAGGGAGGCCCGAATTGAACAACGTCCCGGTGGCTGTGGCACACTCTGAGACTGCAGGTTCATCGGAAATCTCATCGTGCAATTACTTGGCCCGTGCGAAAGGAGTTTGTGCAGGCATGTACATGCACACTGCAAAAGAAAAGTGTCCCGACTTAATTGTTCTGCCGTACGAATTTGACGCAATTCAGTGCGTATCATTCCAGATCTATAATATTTTTTTCTCCCATACGCCATATGTACAAGCCGTTAGCTGTGATGAAGCATTCCTTGAGTTTGGAAGCGAAACGAATGGGTTAGAGAAAGCAGAAACGATTCGAAAAGAAATCTTTGAGCAGACAGAATGTATTGCAAGTGTCGGTGTCTCTTACAATGTCCTTTTAGCAAAATTGTCGTCAAAGAAAGCAAAACCAAATGGAATTTTTCGAATTCTTGACTCGAATCAAGCACAAGAGCTCGTCTTGTCATTAAAAGTTGGCGATTTACCCGGAGTTGGTCGCAAGACAAATGCAAAGCTAGAAGCGCTTGGAGTTGATACCGTGACACATTTAGCGCAGATGACGAAAAGTCAACTTGTGCAATCACTTGGTAAAGCGTCGGGAGAAATGCTGTATGATTTTGCGCGAGGGATCGATTTGCGTCCAGTGTCGATGGAATCCAACAGTATGCGTAAAAGTGTGTCTGCAGTCGTTAATTTCGGCATTCGGTTTGAAAAATGGCAAGATGCGACGACTTTTCTAATGTCCCTTGGCGAAGAACTAAGCTACCGACTTCGAAGCTTAAGGGTGCGAACTCAATGTCTAACTCTGCTGATCAAAAAACGTTCCGAAGGCGCTCCGATCGAGCCGTCGAAGTTTATGGGTCACGGAATTTGCGATAATTTCTCGAAAAGCCACGTTCTAGCACAAGCAACTGACGACCAAGTCGTGATTGGTAAAATTTGTATCGAGCTTCTACGGGAATTTAATTTTCCGTGTGAAGAACTTCGAGGAGTGGGTGTACAGGCTACAAAGTTGATCTCCGATGCCCCAAGTAGTAAACAGCAGGGCGGACAGCTTATCAAAGCATGGCTGGACGATTCTGCACAACGACCAGCAAATTACGCATCGTCTAATAGTGCACCAACAATGACTGGGAGACTTTCAGGCTTCAGTACTGAAGAGAATGCCAATAGGAATACAACTACGGATGAGTTGGCAGTGACAACTTTCTCACAAATTGACAAAGAAGTGCTAGACGAGTTACCTGAATCGGTACAACATGAGATTTTAGCGTCTTACGGACGATGTGCGCCGTCCAATGCTACTCATCAGGCACGAGTAAAACGTCCAGCTAACGGAAAAGCTCCATTACGTCGCAGACATCCGGCAAGAAACATTTTTAGCTCCAAGTCTAACAACCAACTTGCTCGTTGTGCTCGTTACTCGGGCGGCGAAGACAAGGGAAAAGAAGACGCGTTGGATGACATCCGAATGTCACAAATCGATTCGGAAGTCTACCACTCACTTCCTTTGACAATCCGAAGAGAAATCGATCGATATGCGAAAAAGCGTAGACCCACTTCCACAGTTGCTCCTCTCCCGAGGACCGATGTTGTTTCAAATAGCAGTCCCGATAGAGTAATGGTGAATACGCCGACACCTGATGTACTACCGCCGATTGAAGTATTGTTTTCTAATCTTGTTGAGAGTCTGCAAATGATTACTCTCGCAGGGAGCAAATCTTCTGTCAACATCGATCCAGCGCGTTCGGCTGCATTCGATGCAATTTACTCGCGCATCTTAGTCGAGGTAGAAAATCGAGCTCTGGACAGAGTCTTGCGAATGCTCCGTTTTGTTCGTCGTAAATCTAGTACTGTGAACTCAGCGGAACTTGCTGAAGTATTAAAGCATGGCTTTAATCAGGTTCTGGACCTTGTGACCCAGGATATCAAACGATTATTTAATGGAGTTCTGCTGCCACACCTAGTTGAACCGCTTTGAGCTGTGACAACTGCGCTTCGTTGGACTGACAGAAAAATGTTCGCATTGGAGTTTAACAAATATATTCGCACTATAATTTTGCTCGACTTCCCGACTATGCCGCCGTTTCAACGTCGCGTGCTAGTATCGTGTGAAGCGTATAGAGCGCATAGGACGCTGTCGGTCGTGTCGCAGCATCCAGGGAAACACATGCAGAGCCTAGCTCGACAATTTCTTTCACAGTCTCGTTTGAGAACTCAACATGAAGCTTTCCGGAGGCCACCAGCTGCAAAATTGCTGGTTCAGGCATTTTTCTAGTCGAGTCCGTCGGATCTTTGACATTCCAGTACGGCAACAAGTGGGAGTCTAGCTCCGACAAGACGACTCCGAACGAAAACATGTCTGCTTTATCATCGTAACGATCGCCAATCATCACTTCCGGTGCCATCCACAAGCATGTCCCGACTCCACCAGTCATTGACTCGCTCACTCGCTCTCTTGACGTCCCGAAATCTGTGAGCTTTGCATCATTATTTTCACTCAGCAGTACATTTTTGGATTTCAGGTCCCGATGGATAATTGGTGGATCTAATGAGTGCATATACGTCAGAGCGTGAGCGATATGAAGTGCAATCTTCAGTTTTTCTCTGCTAAAACCCATTGGATATTTCTGCTCGTTATACGCTCGTAACAAAGCTTGCAAATCGCCTCCAGCCATAAATTCCGATACGACGCACATGTTTGCCAGAGAATCCCATGCGACACCAATAAACTCAACAATATGAGCGTGTTCCATCGATGCCATCATCTTAACTTCGGCCAATAAGTCAATCACGTGAGAAATATTGCGTCGAGTGTCTGGTAAAAGCATCTTAACAGCTACTCGTCGACCATTGTATAGTCCTGAGTAGACGACGCCGAAACCTCCACGACTTAATAATTGTACGACCACAACTTTATCACGTGGAATACGGGCTGCGACGACAAAATCATCTTCCCATGGACGTATTCGTGTCGATGTCTGAGCCTTTAAAGTGAAAAAGCTAGCCTCAGAGCGTTGAAAGCTTGAACCAAAGCTTGAAAGCGGAGGAGCAAACAATTGTGTGGTCATTTGCTCTCGAAATGAAGTGTACGTACGACCGTTTTGAGGTAAGAATGTACGGCCGGGTAGCGGCTTGGATAAGTATACCATATCATCGGTATCCAGCATAGCAACACTGTCTTGAAGGTCTGTATCTCGTGCACCTTGCGATGTCTGTTTGCTCGACTGCCTCTTCCACGTGACAAAGCCAATAGCCACAAGTAGCAAGACTGCGATGGTTGCGCCAACAAAGGTTGTACTGGCAAAACTTTGCACGGTTCGATGTGAACTGTACGGCTTGATGGTTGTATTTGATGTTGATGCATACGGAATGCCATCACTGAATGAACTTGATCTGGATGAGTTTGAGTCAATGCTGATGTAGAATCGACTGGCCTGGTAACAGTTGTGTGACGCCACGTTCGTCTTGTCTGGTAAAGCAATATATTCAGGTTGTACACTACAATTGCTGGAGGAAAAAAACTGCACGTTGACGGCGTCATCATCAATGATTGTAGCGATAGCTGAGGCGTTCTGTGCTCGTGAAACGGATGAAATTGCGTAAGGTACACAGTGTGCCATATCTTGCAGCGCATGCGTCTCTATGTATGTTTCACTACTGCAATTAGGCTCTTTGAATCGATCAAGGACGATGTGTCTTGTACCCTTGAATGCTGCTGCAATGTACGCATGCGAATTTGTCCTCGTGTCCATACACACTGTTGTGTAATAGTACAGATTAGCGCCAAATTCAATGCGAATGCAAGTTTGAGGACTACAGATCGACGACAGATTCGAGACTTGCATATTCAAAGGTGTTTGAAAACATGCGCTGTCCTCGTAGAACGCCACTGCTCTAAAGACTGTTGCAAACGAGCTGTCTGTACCATGAATGAGTAATAAAGTAGCCAGCATGACTGATTGACGTCGCAGCAATGTCATGGGTTTTCAAGAATGAACAATGTGACAAATTTTCGGAATCACTATCCCAGTAGCAAAATGAAGTGTGTTGTCTTAGTGCTTGAGGACCTTTATGGAACGCATAACAGACGTGGTCGACCTGTAAAATTGGCAAGATGTACGTACTGGGGACATCAAAGCGTGTCGTCTCTGCCCTGATCTGAAATACTGAGTTGTTGCGTGTTGTAGCGTTGTTAGTGATGCTTTAGAAAAGTATTGAACTATGGTATCTCGCTGGCCATGCTTTCGGTTGCATTTCAGCTCGACGCAATGCTTACTGGCTTCATTGAACTACTTGACCCTACTCGAATCGTCATACTATATGGAAGCTGAACGGCACAAATTCGTGAGCGGCAAATGTTCATGTAGCTGGTATGAAAACTTCACGCGGATATCAAGAAATCGTTTCTTTATTACAAGACATCTCTTGAAATTCTAATCTGAGTGCTTCGGCCTTTAAGATACTATCGTTTAGCTCACATTGAGAAAATTTAATGAATAAATGCCATTTCTTTGAAAGCCTCTTGTAGTGTTTGTGCTCTTGACGTCATATCATGTCCGACTTTATCAACAATAGCGTCGACGCTAAATCTTGCAGTTTCAACATGTACCCTCGTCTATCAAATCAGTGTTGCCTTTGGCTTACTGCATCATGACATCTATCTCATGCTACATTGCAATTTTTTATTCATCATAAATTTTTCGTTGAGATACTCCCAACTCGCAGCGAAGGCTATCCTACTGAGAATGCTGCATTTTGCGTCCCAATACATGCGACGTCGACAACAAGTGGTACATCAGGTAACAGAGATCTCTCCATTGCATTTTAGGTGGATATGGTGAATAGTGTGTTTAAGATGCTTAGATCATACAAAACATTTCGACAGATTTCACAATAATTGAATGGATCAGGAAGAGAGGACGCTCCTAAAATTAATGATGTTGCTGCTTAAGCTGTAGGCTGGTACATAGGATCCACTGGTGTAGGTGCGATAGGGACCACAGGAGTCGTTGGTTCGACATATGGGCGGTACACTTCTTCCTTGGGCTCGAGAATTGTAACTACATCGTCTAATGCACGTTTGGGACCCTGCTTACCCGTAGGGTCATGTGGCAACATGATAGACACTTTGACGCCAAGCACACCTTGACGCATCAGTACGTGACGGACAGCAGTGTCAACGTACTCCTGCGATGCATTACCAGTCTTGACCATGTACCCTTCGTTGAACTTCATAGCCTTGGCACGCTGAGCACGAAGCTTTCCAGAAACAACAACCTGCACACCCTTAGCACCAGCCTCCATAATGAAGCGGACGACAGAGTAGCAAGCGCGACGCACAGCTAGACCGCCAAGGAGACGGTATTTCAGCGACTCAGCCTGGGCCTGCGAGCACAGACCGCGGTTGGCCACACGCTCAGCATAAAGCTCCACAGCTCCATCAGGAAAGTTGAATCGCTTCTGTACAACGGACGTAAGGGCTCTGATGCGCTGGCCCTTTTCGCCCAGAACTTCCTGCGTACGAGTCGCACGAATGATGATCTCTGTACGCATTGGGGTTACACGCACTTCAACTCCAGAGTATCCATCACCGTAAAGCTCACGCTGCAGCAACTCGTTTAGCTCCGCGTAGAACACACCGTCAGCCACGAATTTGCGCTTCTTCGAGATGTTAGCAGCCATCTTAAAGTCTTCTCTTAATTCCCGAGTGAATAGTACAGTTTAAGCAGCAACACTGTCAGCCAATGGAAACCTTGTGTTTCGAACACAAAAATCTGTCACTATTGGTATACCGGTAGTGCTTTAAGAGCAGGTTGTTAGTTTTTAGTTTAATGACTACATAAGTAGTGGCCCTAATTTCTCTAGGTTACGTGAGAAACATCGTCAGAGGTACTATGCATGAAGCATAGTGATGCTTAGAATCATTCAAAAAATAAAGTTATCTCAACGATTTTAAGCTGCAGATATCCTGCCGATTTCATAAGCTTAAAGCCTCTTACTTCGACGACAGATATTCCCCCAGCTGTTAAAACGGGGTTTTCGTGCACCACGTACAGAAGAAACTTTGACTCGAGTTCAAAACACTCAGAGGTTGGGTTCATACGCTTTTGATTTGCCAATTTAAAGCTTCGACACCTACCGCATGTATATTCTGCGCGTCGTTCCTGCATGAATGCATGCATTTTAATCAAACTAATATAATCCAGAAAATCACCTTAGCGTTAGGTGTCTAAAGAACATTTTTAACAGCGTTTGCATATAACCGAGGCAAGTGTGTCTGCAATTGTACCGACACTTTGTATAAAGCAGCATATGGTCTCATCTTCAGCGTGCGTGTATCAGGTATTTACGCCAGAGATTTGTGATGAGAGAGTAACCTTTAGACTTCACTCAGCATTTTAGCCTATTTATATATCCGTATGCCGCAATAATATTGCCACACTATCAACAAGCGTTGACGAGACGGCTCTGGTGTCATTCATATAGTGCAATGATATCAGCATTGCTTGTCGATGTTCGGAAGCAAACTACTTTTTCGGACTATGGACACATATACATGCATTGCCCAATGTACAAATACCACAAGAAGTAAAGTTGACATCGATCATTTTAGATTATTCTTTCGCGATGTAATGAACTGTTGAAATGATGCCTTGTAAGCTTCAATCAGTAACATGCAAACATGATTATGTAAAGATTGATGTAAATTTGGCAAGACGCACTGAAGCGCAAACGTTCCAGCTGTATGTCTTTTCTTGGCCAAACTTCCGACTCCAGGATTAGGAGCTCCAAGTTTTAATATTGCGAGACTTTAGCAGCCTTTCAATGTGTTTTGACCGATACAACGCAGTATTTATGGAACCCAGCAAGCCTGAAAGAATACGAAGACGTATTGCTTTCTATCATATCCATCATAATTTTGCTGCCACATCAAGGCCTCGTCGGTGCCACTTTGCTTGAGAAACAAGAACGAGATAAGCTTAACCGTCTCAAGACGTTATCCACTCGCGCACTACCGAAGGCAAAGACCGATCGAAGTAACTTTCTGACAGAGTTCTTCCTATTCACACAAAGTAGAGAGATATTAGTTCAAGGGCATCTTCCTGTGATGTACAATTTGCCATTTTTCGTTTGTTGTCGAGGGATGGAAAGCAAGCATCCGTGTACGTTTTTGGTGGCTTAACCTTTTTTATTGCTTTAGACCACTTAAAAGCTATAAAACATAGGATCTCATAATATTTGTCGGATATCGGATATTTATCTATGCTCAAGGTCCCTTTGTAATGTCACATTCACATCATATGTGCTGAGTAAAATGGAACACATGTTGTTAATTGATGGCTTTTTCAATTTGATACTACGGAGTTTACAAAGATCTTATTTTTGCAGATCCGAACAATTTTTCAGATTCATACATAGGTTAAGTTCTCAAGTAGACCGACTGCACGCCTCGTGGCTCCAGCACGAGGCGTTATTAACTCATCCAGATATGACAAATCGATAGGCTCTCCGCGGAACGGTTTCGTTCTAGCATCCAGTGTAAACAAATGCGTGTCTGGGTACAGAGGGTCCCATTCGTGCGCGGCAGATCGCATCCTGGTGGCCGAACTGATTGGCACACCGCCACCGGTCAGGCTGAAGAGAGGTCGATTGCTGACATTTGAATGGGCCGCAAAGCGGCGGCCTTCAATTGAACTACCGCCAAAGGATTCTGTCATACTTGTCGAGCATTTTGAGCATCCGCTGGTCTGCGTCGCATAAAATTGATGGCGGTTTCGCTCTGATGAAGCTGTCATCATAAGATACAAACTTAAGATCGAGTAGTTATACATACTATTAATGATCATCAAACTCACCATTACGTGCTGTATCGAACAAGTCTCGATTCTCAATCACGGTGTCATGTCGAGGTTGAGTTTTGTATCTGCAGCGCTGGTTGTAGTCGATAAGATTTAAACTGTGATTTGTAAATTTTACCGGGCCCGTGCTGACAGCACATGGGAGGCAAATGCGATGGTTTGTGCCACTTGCGTCGAAGCGGCGGTAACGAATGTCCACGCACTTTTTACACAAAATGTTTTCACAAAAGCGACATCGTTTGGCAATCGACCACCTTGACGTGCGATCACCACAAGACCTGCACTCGCGATTCCTGTCGTTTTCGGTAGCGTTTGAGCCGATAGAGCCGAGAACTTGTCGAACATTTAGTTGACGCATTATCTTTAGCACATGATTGAGACAATCCGCCGATTTCTTCGTAGCAACAATAGCTTGTTGTGCGACCCAATTAGAAGCGCCTTTGTTGTCAATATGAATAAACGTTACATGTTTTAAAACGTTAGGATGATCGGTCTCACGCAAGATCATACCAGACACTCGCATGTACGTGCGTATCGGTCCGTCAGGATGTTGTGATGCCGGACAGCACAAGTGATTGATTGAACGCATACTGCGCGCCCAAACACGACGGCCTGTTTTAGAATCCACGAAAGAATCCATATATTCGAGAAAACAGACGTCTCGGCCGTTCGATAGCTTGGACGGAGGCTTCCAAAGGGACCAGCGCATGGAAACACAGTGCAAAGGCTTGCTACGGGAGGGACTCACAATCTCGTACAGCCGTCTGGAACGTGCCGAGTCTAAATTCATGGGCACACGGCCACTCCGATCCAAGTATAAATCAGCCACCTCTTCCAGCGTGCCATACACCACTGAAGTCGTCCACATGGCTACGGACTTGTAGTCACATTCACTACGTTGCGCTAAGGTAAAGATTTCTCCATCATTTCCGAGTCGCACTGCCGCTTTAACCGCGGGGAACAGCGACTGGTAAGTTGCCTTTGCCTCACTAAAGAGGTTGTCGCGATCTTTCCTGGGTAGAGGCAGCATTTCTAGCGCATATGGATGGTCAGGTGACCTCGAGTATGAGTACTGCTGCACCATCCGGTCAATTAATAATGGAGAAGTGAGATTTTTTCAGCTTGATCACGGGCATAAAAAAGAAAGACATCCATCCGAATTAGTTTGACTAATATTTGGGATAAATGAACAACAATAAATTACTACTCAATCAAATCAACTTTCGCTGTTAGAAGATCCAGATTGTTAAATGAAGGTTCGATATCTCATTTAACAGAAGAGTCGGACATTGATTGACTGTTAAGGTAAAACAGAAAATTGGAAAATCCTACTATACAAAAAAAAGCGGTGAGTCTAGATAAATTTATCAATCATCTTGATTTACTGATTCATTTGGAATTCATACGCTCTGATCGCTTGACATTTGGAAATGATGAATGCCAATACCATCGCAGTCAGCACAAAGTTGAAAATATTTTTGATGCTGATGACCTCATTATAAATCCTCGTTTTATAATGGCATAAGTCAAGTAGAAAATATAGTTGTTTGAGGTATCAAAACTCATATCTCCCCATTTCTGATAAAACGCACATACCATTTTGTCTACCGTATGGTGTTCGCCCCATTTCTACAAAATATTTCGTGAATGAATGAAACGGTGGAAAGTTCACTCCCTGCGTTCCCTCTCATGAGCTACCTCGTTAAAGCATTGGGAATGAAATTGAAGTTCTCGAGACGGACAGTAAATTCTATAATGTTGGTAGGCGGCTTGACTGAAAGCGAAAGTTACAATGCATGGAAATTAGCAGCAAGGACGATCTCAATCACACCTCAGACTAATACTACGTTTTTTGTCACGTGTCTCCTGACGCCAACAGTGAGACCGACTGTATACTTTACCACGTCCTCAGCTGGCACTTTGCTCAGCAAAATATCAGCATATGTGTCTCATCAATCTAAACGATTTGCTCTTGATGAGATAAGAATTCCTTCGCCTCCAGTGTTTTGGTCGGCCTATAGTATAATATATGAGCTTTTATTGACTCGAGCACCTTTACGCTATTGTATGGATAGGAAATAGACGTCAATAGAATTATATTGGCTTGACAAATTGATACCACTATAAGTGAACTGTCCGTCAATTGCCATGCTCGTTCGAAGCTGTATCTAAGATGCTGTTTTTCATCTTGTTGATTAAAACTGCCTTAAAGTTCAGCCGTGCCTTCTTGGTTAAGTGGCCAGTAGAATATCAAACGAAATTTGAGCTTAGAGCCGGTCTGTGCGCAGAGAACAAAGTGTAGTGTAAGCAACACTTGTCGGGGAGAAGAAAACAGCAGAAGGAGATTGATTTGATAAATCAAACGATCTGTTTATTGACAGTCTACATGCTAAGCGGCTATTCATAACAAATAATTGTCTCGTTAACGCTTTTCCATCTGCAACTTCGTCCTGTTCCGGCATAGATGTTTTGATCATGAGTCGAACTTGCATTAGGTATCTGTAACAGGGTTACACATACCCTGGTAACATGGGTGTGTGTCACACCAGATGTGTATGGTGTGACCACACCCAAACAAGAATACGGGACGGGGCTGGATAGCCAGTAGTTACACATTCATTAAGGTTTTTCTATACATATTTTTGGGAAAATCTATGCATTTAATATCAGGCGGCTTTGCCGCAGATAAAGATAAATAAAGTCAGTTTTGAATTTAAACCGAACAGTTAATTAGCCTTGGGTTATGGCAATGATTACTCTTGGAGTAAGCGAATTGCGATCCGCTAAACTCGTACTTGTTCTGAGTATAGAACGAGAGGTCGGTGACCTA